ATCGTTTTTAAATCGTATTTGGCGACTTGCGATTGACGCATGATATTTTTTTAGATTTTAATGAATGCAGACGTCTCCTGTTTGAAGTTTGATAATATTGTAGTTGTGCAGTCTTGTATTTTAAAGATCTTGAAATCAGATATTCACAATGAGAAAACTGTCTTCTCTGCCCCTTGTTCTACTTTTTATAAGTAACCTGAAATTTCCAAATGTAAAACTCTTATCAATTTTTTATCAATTGTCAGTCGTACCAGCTGTAATGTGAACGAACAATCCCGGATTGATTCATGTTAAGATGTTTGGCCAAGGACAAGTAGCTACACAGGATCATCGGAAGCCTACGTTGTTATCCTTATTTGCTACTCTTGCGACAAAAAGTTATTTCTTTCTTTGTCGCAGCAACAGAAAGCTCCTGCCTTCATAGCTGTATAGAGGTATGTACAATAAATACTGCCAAATATCTATTGTCTTCTCAACTTCCACGAACAATTCTATGAATACCATAATAACTTTATTTACTATGTGGACTCTCTGAAATGGTGCCAAAGCTTATTGAGTGCTCAAGAACTGTTTTGTTCTGGACTGAGTATTACTGCACTCTACTATCACTTTAAAGTTGTTAGTCTAGTAAGGTACGAGGAACGTAGTATTATAATGTTCTTGTCGTTTGTAATTATGATACAGGTTCATCAACACTCGACATATTTTACATACAAATGACATTTTATATCATAGTATATGTAACAAATATGTGCATCGATGCGTTTTATTATCATGCAGAAAAATTCGTCATTTTAATCCTAAACTTGTATAAAATTAAGTTTTAAACCACTTTCGAGACAAGTTTAAAGACGTACACTTTTCTGTCTAGATATAGTGACCCAGGATGGTTGTTAGACGCATTCCAATGTCTTCCTCATTATTTTGTCTTTTAGAATGATCCAGGATGGCTATTGAACTCATTTCATGTCTACCTCATTGATTTTATCATCTTGAATGATTCAGGTTAGCTGTTGGACTCATTTCATGTCTACCTCATTGACGCTTTTCTTTCACTGTCTCTTTGATTTTTTCATCTTAAAAGATACTGGATGACTCACTGATTTTGTCAGTTCGTGATCCATACTTTATCGATTGCGGTTTTAATGTACATAAATCGTTTTTCTTATGATTGATTGATATATGCTCACAACACCAGGCATTAAAGAACTCAACGATAAGAAATTTTAAAATGGGAATATCGGGTCATCCTCATTTTTGGCATACAACCTTCAAAATAACCGCCTGAAAGATCTCATCTCATCTGCAGCTAACTGTATTGTTATCAGACTAAAACTCGAACACTCGTTATAAATGTGAAGTTTTGTTTGTATTATAAACGTGTTATTGGTCTCACTTACTGGATTATGATGTTTTTGTGAAGGTAAAAATTAGTTCCGGTGGCCTTACCCCACCTTCTCACTATCTTACTACCCCCTAGTTGTAGCACGTGATCGTTGACTTCCCTTCACTGGTCTGTATACTACGTCACTTCCGACACCTTCTAGATATTAAACTTCTTTTCATTGTCCTAATTTTCTGCTCTTGATTGAGCTAAGACGACGGACACTGTCATACTGTGCGTATTTTACCAGACGGCTTTATTTTCTGCTTAGTACGTGGTATAGTTTAGTTTCCGACATTTTTTAAATGTTATGTTAGAGATCAAGGCTAATTTTCCAAGATAACACAGATATAAAGCAAGTTAGCAGAACTTTACTAATAATGATGTTTATTTATTAAATTAGATAATTAACTACAAAAATCTTCATCAAAGACAAGTTAATTATTTGGAGGTATATTTCTAGTATTTTAATGTGTTTTAAAATGACCTCTTAGAGAGTGATCTAGTCTATACACTTACTGTATAAGTTTAACTAATTTAATAAGTCAAGAATCCAGCTGTTAAAACTTTGACAGTGTTATAATTTCACAGTCTGTACCGAGGAAGAAAAACCATTGAAACATAATCACTAATCCCAGTCATAATGAAATGAATGGAGTTTTACGTCCTACCCGACTGAGATAATGGTACCTGTAGGACGTAAAACAGAGGTTCGGGTAGTAGGATACCTCCTGAATACGTTTCATCTCTCAGTTCATTGACTCAATATAGTACAAAACAGTCAAACTTATAACTGCCTTGTTTTAATATATTAAGTTCACATGCCCGACAGAGTCGAGGTTGATTTTTACACGTTTTTTTATAATTTATAATGATATTTCGACATTTGAGGTGAACGTTTTATAGATTTAAAAATAAAATTATCAGTGAATATTACAACGTATGTCTAATATGTTTTTATAGTAAATTGTATGTAATTTTTTGTATTTTGGAAGTTTTGTGAGGTCACACCCTGGGTGAGCTCGATGTTGTGGTCGGATATAACACGTCCACACTAATTACTTTTTTTTTATCGTTATAATGTGGTCGGAGACGGAAGAGCGACCCGTTACATTTTTAGTCAATGTCGTAGCGGACTGCGTAATCTCGTATAACAATGTGGTCATCGGATCATGGTCAACTATTTTTAGATTTTTTGTGGCCAAACTGACCTTAAAGTACAAAAAAAAAGTAGGACAAAAATTTTTTTGCACACTTGGGTAATAGCATGTTTTATTCCTAAATAGAGATCATATTACATTACTGAACATGATTTTATACTGTACTACTCCAGGATCTTATTATAAACAACATTGCAAACAACTTACAATGTTCATCACCTGGTGAAACAACAATGTAATTTGTTGAAACGTCGTGTACAATGCAACACAAGGAGAAGTATAACAGTACACATAAATACGAAGAAACTGTATTTGAAAAAATTCCAACCATACTTATATATTTAGTACTAAATAATATCGTGAAATATAGTGAGTTTTTTTTTATCTTGCCCAGACTAGCGCAAATAAATTACTGACTTTACCATTGCACATACGATTCTACTTTTTATTATGGAACTAGAAATACTCAGCCATTTGTTGAATCAAACTGTGTATTATATTCGCAAATATACAGTTATCGAAAAAGCAAACATTGGACATTTTTATCGGTTGAAAAGTGCGGATTGTTCTTGCAATTATAAAATTATCAAAAAAGCAACCAGCTCTTCGCTGGCAAATACACAATTTCAGGAATAAAAGTGTCAGTAGGTTTCTAGTTCAGTGTGTAATTAATGGCCATATTAATTATGTCGGTGATAATCAATGGCGAGTGGTGATTATTGATGTTCAGTCATTGACAGGGAGTTCGAGATAAACTTGAAAAACTTGTCAAACTCTAGCAAATCGTATGTTATTTGACTATTTCATTCTCTCAATCTGATCTCCTTTCTTGGATGTTATAAATATTGTTAAAGTAGGACTTAAAAATCATTTCATTAAAAATTGATGTCATTAAAAATTTAGGTTAAGACTCCAGATATAACATGGTTTTCCAAGTCATATTAAAATCTCCTTTGTATCAATGCTCTGTCTCAACCGAACAGCCCTATTAGGTGCAAGAAGAAAGATAATCTCTTAATTATGACGTATGTCAGAACTTCCTAAAACATTGCATAGGTTTGAAAAGGTCATGACTCTTGAAGAAAGCTGACGCAAGCAATAAAGGTGTTTATCGTAAAATCCCAATTTGTTTTGTTTCTTTTGAACATACAAGAATAAGAAAGTCACACGAAGCTCAACATAATTTCAAGAACTCCGAAACCATTACATTAATTTTTTGTAAAAAAGTTCTTTGGCGTAAACGGTGATGCACAACACGCCAGAATATGGTAGTCTACTTCAGTCCCGTTGTTTCACAGCCGTTACGATTGGTACTAATACCTGCTATATTATGTTTTGTTGTCCTGTCTTGGTGAAGAAAGAAGATAGATAGTTTCTGTGTGTTATATTTTTAAATGGACCAGGAAATGAATTTAAAACAACATTAAAGAGTTGATTTATTATAATTAATCATATACCCATTGCGTTAGGATTATTTTAGACCAAATATAACATGTACGGCGACGTGAAGTGTTGGTAGACCTACCATTCCGCTGATTCCCACAAATTTAGTTTTGCCTGTGGCTTGCAAAAGAAGACTTAAAAGGTCGAATTGAGTTTAATGTCTTTTTTTTAAGTTTCTGTTTTAATAATTTTTGAAAAAGTGGATTGTGACGTTTAGTGGTGACTGACAGACAGACGGCTCGCGCGATGATTGAAGATGTTACAGATGTATTCTAGCTGGAGACTTGAGCCTCACGAACACATTTTGTTGTCAGACTCAGACTGTTGAGGATTAACTAACTCTCTACTGACCTGCAGTAAACTCACCATCTACAATAATGTGGCTCATACTAAAAAACTTTCGCAATTTTCTGTAAGCATGTGAGATTTTAGATCAAATATAGCTTTTACATTTTGGGCGCTGTTTTGATAAACTCTTGTGATTTTGGATTTTTTTGCTTTTTGAACGTCCAACTTTTAAAAAAGCCTTGCATTTATTATTTGGGATTATAGTTTAGTTTGTGGAAATTAGTTCGATTGGATTTCGTTCCTTGCAAGGCTTCTTGTGTTTCATAGATGATGGAGAATTGAAGAAGTGTGCAGATACCGTGACGATTTGACCGTGTGCATTCGACGTTTCTTCCTCTACCTCAGTTGTTCAGAGATTAGTACAACACGGTGGCTTTACGGACGTCTGACAATTCTCTTGATAGATAGTTAACGCAAGCAGTCTCGACCTTTTTTAGTCGATCTTTTGTGGAATCGCAGAAGGACCTACTTGTAGTAGTGTTTAGCTTAAGAGACTCTTTCAGGCAGAGTTTGAAGAGCTTTTTCAGCAAATGTTGTTGAAGGATTTAAATACTATGAACGAGGTTGGATATGGTCCACATTTCTCTCAGCGAATCTTCTAATCTGGATATGCTCAAAAGTTTTACCGCCCCTCTGTGGATTCTATGTTTGTGGACACTGTCATTATGAAGTTGTATGCCAAGAATGGAGAAATCGCCAATACCACACGTATTCCCAAATTTGCTGTCCAGCGAAAATCTCTATTAAGAAGGTAAATTTTTATACTTATTTTCAGCTTGAGAAGGTACTCTCGTGGACCTCGAAACACAAGACAAACATGTGAGCTGTTTTCTAGTGGCTTTTGTTTGCTATTGACACGTGGATTTGATTTGCGACCGAGGGTAAGGACCCAATGGTTCAATTATTCAATTTGAAACATGAAATGGTACCCCACCGTAGCAATTCCAGAGTTCAATATTTATGCATGCGTTGAAGTTGCTTTTCTATACCAAATCCTTTTGAAACGCAGTCCGGTTTTGTCTAGTAGTTGCTATTTTAGCGACCAGTTCAATACTTAATGGTACAGCAGGGAAGATTTGATTTAGTTCATGGCGTTATTTATATCTTTGTTGGGGGAGGGGCGGGGAATTACCAGGATTCATAAACTTTATTTTCGACTGAGGGGTAAGGATTCTAGGATTCATAAACCTAGACAGGCTTTTCTTTTCCAATTAATGAATTGTTTAAGATAATCTTTAACGTATATTACACGAGGCCTCGGTTTATTGTTTCAGCCAAAAGACAAAACATTTTGATTACGATTAAACCTTAGTCATAATTTGATGTCACTCTGACAAGCCAACATTATTGATCAGGGATCTATATTTTAACTGTAGATGATATTTATAAATTATTACATACTTAATACTGTCATTCTCTCTCTCGCCTTGTCAGTTAACGTTGATTTGGACCAGGGTGTTATCAAACCCCAGTTGTTATATTACAATATATAATGTTGACATGCAGAGGGTTATCTTACGCTGTAAATTACCAACCCTTGCATTTGTGTACCTGCTACTGTATCGATTGCTTACCTATCATCTGTCTTAGGTTAGTTGGTTGGTTTGTAAATGACAAGTTAACTTCCACTTCCAAGTTTCAGCCACATCTTTTAAACACCTATATCTTGCACCTTGTTCTATCATAAATCTTTACTTTGTGACCTAGGCCAGTGCTTTTATGAGACTATGTTCTCATCACCATCTAACACAGTATGAGTACTGTAGTACTACGATACGACCGCGATCTGTAACAAAAGTCCAAAAGGTAGCCTTTTTTATTCAGTGTTTTACGATTTTTGCAAATCGAAAACATGACAGAGTCTATTTGCACTATTCTCAATTGACTGTTTAACTGTCGCGCATTATCACCCAAAGTTGTCACTGAGCTTTCTTTCACAGACTGTATCTGTTCTGTAATCAACCTCGATCTGTGCTTTCGGTATCCTGAATTTCACCTACGTTCTAGAATTTCCAGTGACACGTAGACTGTAAATTTAAGTTTATGAGAGGTAAATCTTGTATGCCAACTTCCTTACCTTGACGTTTTAAAACCCAGTGTAGTTTATAACTTGCCGACTTCATAAATTATATTCTATATCTTCACGACAAGCAATTCTTTTCAATCTAAATACGACCAATTATACACGTTTTACCGTTCCAAGTTCCCGTTTCACAAAAAGTCACGATCTATCCGATCTTCTGTAAATTCGTATCGTAAGATTGTTTGTGAAACAGGGACCATGGTTGTCTTGAAGGGTTTCTTTGGAGAATTTCTAGCTATGTGTTTCGGGGATATTGGTAGCTTCTTTTTGTAAATTTCTGTCCGATTCCAGTAATTCAAGATTTTTTTTTTCATCAGATTCTGCCCCAAATCACCATAGCAAATATTTTAAGTGTAGCTAAATTTAAACTAGATAGTTTTTCTAGTTAACCATTCACACGTAAACTGATGAAATGTAGGTAGGTTGGTAGATAACAAGTTAACGTTCGCTTCCAGCGGATGCTGATATCGCAAACTAGGTAGTTGTTGGTAGATGACAAGTTAACGTTCGCTTCCAGCGGATGCTGATATCGCAAACTAGGTAGTTGTTGGTAGATGACAAGTTAACGTTCGCTTCCAGCGGATGCTGATATCGCAAACTAGGTAGTTGTTGGTAGTCGTAGTAGTTGGTCTGATGAAATGTTCAAACTAGACCGTTTTATAGAACCATTGCAATTTGAAGAATCCCTTACAACAAAGAAATCAACTCATTCAGTGGTTAATGACCAGTACTCTCAGTATTTTTTGTTTTTCATAATAAACTTCATGAACCATCGTCTGTTACGTATTGTCTTTTATCCTTTTTTCTAAATGGCCTTGGTCTTTACTGTAAGAAAAAGACGTTGACCAACCCAAAAACCTTCAAGTTAGCAAAATTAATGATAATGAAGTTAAAGTGACATATTACTAGGTTTGGAATGCAGTAAATGACTTCCTTTAGAATATTTTAATTTTCTCGATAAACTGGTTTTTACTGATGTTTAATGTTTGTGCCATTTTTTATTTAAATGAGGTGCCATGAAAAATTTTAACTGGCTACATCTACCCAGCACTGTTTACAAGACATTGGCGTAGTTTAAAATTTTAGCAACATAATTATATTGAGTGTTACATTGAAATGTGGTCGAATGGATTTGATAATCACGGAGGTTATTTTATTGCACTTCATGTAACCCATTATAATAAAAAAATATAATTGATGGCCAAGTTTTTAAATGTTACACAAGTATCAATAAAAACTTATAAATAGTTACAAAACATATCTTTAGTTATGATTAAATGACTTGTTTTTAACTGAATTAAAGAGAAGATCGATCATGATTTGTCAAGATGAACAATATACTATAATACATATAGTGATACATCATTATATTTTACCATAAATATAGATACATGATTACTGATACATAATACCACTGTCAATCATCATCCATCTATGTTATATCAAACTGTTATTGCCTCATTTGCATATTTTATGATGTCATAATCTAAATATGGACTTACTGTGAATATTATTGTCATCATTTGAATATTACGTGACGCGTAAAACCGATCATAACTTCTGGAAACTTTCAAGATTGCATTGTTAGTGCAAAAGCTTCATTATCATAAATTAGAGAAACGACCCTGAACATTCCGCTGAAGCTATACTTGGTCCATGGTATAAACAGGACAGTTGAAGCATGTTTTATTTAGTATCTATTGTTATCCATTAAAATTGCTCCACATAAATTTTCAAGCCTTTTTTTTATCTTGTCCTAGACAAGCTGCTTACTATATCTTCGGATCACTACAAATGCTAAGTTTGAGTAAAATTGGAATAGTACAAATATGTTCATGATTCACATAGAGCATTAAGAACATCTCCGTACGAGTTAAAGACAACCTTCGAAGCCCCGAAAGCAAGTTCTTCGGGCAAAAATCTCATAACTAGGTTAAAGATTCGGACAATCTCAGATATTTCGCGAAATTAATAATAACTATTCTAGAAGTATTATTATATTCCTGATGACAGTGTGAGAACCTCATTGAAACGTTGAATGTAATAAATATTCTACAAGTATTTATCCATGATAATAGTTTTATTTATTTTTAAATGAAATGAATGGAGTTTTACGTCCTACTTTTCGTATTATTTTTCTATAACTTTCGCTCCATTGATGTATTTTATTAATATTGTGATGTGTTTGTATATTTCAGATTTAGGAAACGACTATCTATATTACTCCACACCCATGTGGCTTTAATCCTCGTGTCGGTGTTAGCTGCTTTAGATGCATCATGTGTTATTGGTCAAATCATCTGCGATATCCTCATTATGAAAGGTTAGTTTATCTTTATCTCTTCATCTTTATCTCTTCCTTACATTGAAATAACAAGGCACTGAATTGAGACAATATTAAATTAATATTCTAACGCTTTGAATTGATTGGTTTGATACTAAAAGACGATAACGTCATACAGTGTACAATAAAGGAAATTTTGTACGAATTCAGCAATAGTTTAACCTTTTACGATTTGCAACTGAACAACCTGTAGCCCACGGGGCCTCTGTCAATTGTCCCACCAGAACGGTGAGCAACTTTTCCACATATACTCTCCGAAATGTTATTTACGATTGTTGACTATAGTATAAATATTAGCGAGCTAGTTTAACACCATGTAAATGATGTTCTTCCTCTATGTTTTTGTTGATTTGGTAATCCTTTGTTTGTAAACAACGTGATTAAAATACCAGAACCAAGTTGAGGTTACAGATTACTGGCCAGGGTTTTTAACCTTCTTATATTATTAGGAAATTAAAAATGTTATATTTGGACTGTGTTTGGGGGTTGAGTTTATTTGCCCAATCGCAGAGTGGCTTCAGGTTCTCCAGTCCAGAGGCAGTCAGACTACACTACCACGATATATTTCAATACGCGTATCGTATCGCGAGGTCATGTATCGATACTTGGCGATACCTTTTATTCCATAAAAAAGTGTGGATTTTTATAAATTGTTTTACGATATAACAAGTTTTTGACTGAAATTGTTAGAAAGCTTTTATAAGACAGTGGACGCTAACCACTTCTATCAACTATTACGTTACCAAATATATATAGAAACTTTGAAGATAAAATGTTGATTTTTATCCCATTACCCCATAGCGTAACATGTATCGTATCTTGACCCTTGTATCGCGATATGTATCGTATCTTGACCCTTGTATCGCGATATGTATCGTATCTTGACCCTTGTATCGCGATATGTATCGTATCTTGACCCTTGTATCGCGATATGTATCGTATCTTGACCCTTGTATCGCGATATGTATCGTATCTTGACCCTTGTATCGCGATATGTATCGTATCTTGACCCTTGTATCGCGATATGTATCGTATCTTGACCCTTGTATCGCGATATGTATCGTATCTTGACCCTTGTATCGCGATATGTATCGTATCTTGACCCTTGTATCGCGATATGTATCGTATCTTGACCCTTGTATCGCGATATGTATCGTATCTTGACCCTTGTATCGCGATATGTATCGTATCTTGACCCTTGTATCGCGATATGTATCGTATCTTGACCCTTGTATCGCGATATGTATCGTATCTTGACCCTTGTATCGCGATATGTATCGTATCGTGACATGATTGACGATACCCATACACTACTAGTCAAAAACATACCTGAAGTGTTCCTGAATGAGTCGAGGCTCGTGGATTGAAGAAGGTTGGGGCTTTCCCACCTGGAAATATCTATTTAACATATACTCTCCTGCATTTTTTATAAGGCAGGGCACTTTAGGGGTCGGGGCCAGTGGACAGTCCCTGTGAAAGTTGTCCCTACCCCTTCTCATACTGTAGAGTTGACAAATTCCATATTATACACATTTCATTATGAATCTTCAATGCATTTGAGTTACAAATTAAGAATTATATTCTACATTGTGAAGTGTTGATTTAATTTCATTTTTTCATCATACTTCGTGACGTTAACTGATTTCAGATGAAACTTAAGCTACGAAAGATTACCGGTGACAAAAACTAGTTAAATGTAGCCTACTTCCTTTCAAAGATATATTAAGATGGGAATGATAATGAAATCCACATTTTAAGAGCATACGAGACATTTATAATGGATTACAATCGGAAAGTTTTAAATGGAAGATCTTAAATTCTTTGTTTGATCATTTCAAAACTTGTGGAGGCATGACAGAGATATATAATTAAAGTTACGGTGTGCGCCAATTTCGGGTTTTTATATGATATTTATACGTTATTGACCCCAAATATATATCAGAATGCACAATTCAGTTTTAGAAAATATTCTTGGGAGAACCCTCTAGAAAGTTGACTGCTGGTGAGTATTTTGAGCTTAAGACTCGCATATATATCCATTATATAATAAATATACCATATTACTGTATTTCAGAAAAACTTCATGAATGGGAACTGTTTGATGCAAAACTGTCACCGTTATTGGTGGATGAAATTCCAAGGTTGAATACTAGTGATTATGAACCGGGTGGACCGGGATTACATAAATTCTATGAAATATTGGCTGGTCTGGAGAACCACCATTTAACTCATAAAAGCCCAAATGAGAAACATAGTCTACATCATCTTATTCATCATCACGATCAGCAGGTGCTCGGGGATCTTACCCACAATACCACACACCCTCCACCGCATCAGGCACACAGTCATAGTAGGCGGAAACGGGCTATCGTGGAGGTCCACAGTCACGAGGAGGACGGCCATGGCGTACTACACGAATTGAATCATGCTTTCCATTTAGGCAGTATGATTATTCTGTCTATTTTACTTTTTGAGGTAAGTTATTGAATTTTCTCTGTCTTCTATAAATGTGTTTGATATGAACATTAATGCATATCTGCTTGTGTATCTTTAAGCTACTGTAAAACTGTTTCAGATACTGGCTTCGTACTTTGTTAACGTTGTAAGAGAATTACATGAAACAAAACGTAGGACAGACATTGTTACAAGTTCAAGAAGAAGCGAAAAAAGTCTAGACATTATTTTAAGGAATATATTACTAATATGCAATTACTATTACTAAAACAGCAGTAATCTTGGACCTATACAAGTAATTCTGACGATGCTAAAACTCCTAGTGTATATTGTAGAATATCAAAATATCTCTAATGAATGTACATATATTAATCTCATTTCAGACCTTACTAAAAACTTTTGCCATGGGAAGAAAAATTCTGATGCACAAACTTGAGGTAAGTAAGAATTGTAGCTAACTACTCTTTAGGTCAATGTTTCCGCCCTATTTCAGCCTTCACACCCCTGGAGCAATCATCTGGACTTTTCACACCCCAAAAATTTGTTTTATCCACATTTCCAGCATGTGATGATCTGAGGTGCTCTCTCAACTCAAAATAAAATCTTCTCCTACACCAGTTGGCCACACCCCTGGCACCCTAGTCCCATACCCCCAGGGGGTGAAAACACCCAGGTTGGGGACCAGGTCTCTAGACAATAATGCAATTTAAATTTGTCCATGATCAATTCTGTGATGATTCCAGAAACTTTTGAAGGAATCTAAAACATGTAACAAGCCATTTAACTTTTTGTTTCTACAATTTGTTGTCTTCTGATTTCCGATTACTGAGACTGATGTCGTAAACGAGGCTATTGTTGTCCTTTTACCCTGTCAGAGCCGTCTGAAATTGCTTGCTTTTGTTTGCAAGAAGCATCTTGTTTAGATATACTTATTAACTATTATTGTGGTTATGCTGGTAGATTTATTAATATTATCTCCAAATGAGATTTATGTCCATAATGATTAGAGACAAAAACACTAGACTTGAGTGTGAGCGATAGGACAGTCAAGTGCCACTCGAGCGGTACTTCACAATTACAAACAAACAAACGGTAGCTCATATACTCGGATACAACAAAAACTAGGAGTGTGTTGAACGTTTGAAATTTGACATCAAGAAGCGAATCATTTTGATATCTGATAATTCAAATTGACGTGAAGTGTTCGATGTAAGTGGACAAATTAGAATTTAGACTGAAATTTGCAAGACTGGAGAAAGGTACAGGGTTATTTTAAACAACAACTCAAAGAGCCTCATAACTTTCTCTGACGTTTATAATCTTACATGTATTTTAAAAAATAGAAATAACTTCATAATATAAAGACTGAGTTGTTTCAAGACTTTCTTGGTTAAAAAATCTTACAATTTATACACAATACATACTTTGTAATACCATACTATCAAATACTTTGAATAAAAACTTGTTCTTTAAACAGAAAATTAAAATATAACTTCGACAGCAATTGCCCATCTTGGTGTTATATTCTACTTTTCTGCTATATAGTTTGGATGGATTAATGAAGACGGTTATAGGTTACTGGTGGCTGTAGCTCCCTTAAGCAACGTTACAATGATCATATAGCTGTGAATAATCGTACCAATGCTAAGAAACATGTGGTGCTGTAGCTCTTCAAGTCAATATGTTTTTGAAGAGGTGCCAGAAAAAATTCTGGTGAAAATTTGTTTATTTTTGAACCCTTTGATAATAGATCAAATCTCTTTTCTGTTTGATACTCTCAAAATAATTCCATTGCCCAACCTTACAACTATAGTTTACCGATTACAAATCTACAATTAATTACCCGTTTCTTTCTTGCAGGTTTTCGACGCTTTCGTTGTAACAGTTTCTTGGTGTCTGGATATAGCATTCTGGGAAGGTATCTGGGAACATCCGGGTACTGAAGCTGCTACTATATTGATATTTATTTTACCATGGAGAGTCGTCAGGATTGTAAATAGTAAGTAACTTGATTGTTAAATTATAGGGATTCTCAATTCTTTATGTGTATCAGGGACACTGATAGACTCGATTAATGTGTTTTAACTTGTCAGCTGTGGTTCTTAAAATTAAATAGCAATTAACAGACGTTTCCAGCTCATAGTTCCTTAGATATTATTCGGCGTCATATACTGATAAACAGTTTAAAAATTTACGACAGACACCTGACTAAAAATAGGAATGATTCAAGTTAGCCATAAATTACCACGATACACACTAATAACTATAACACCAGTTTACAATGTGCTAATAGAACGAGATGCGATGTCAGGTGTCACAATTACATCTAATACGTCCTTCACAATTTCAATTTTAGGTTTCGTTTTGGTCATTCAAGAAAAGGATAACGTACAGTTAAAAATCATCAAACAACGTCTTCGATTAAATTTTAAGAAAACGAAAGAAATTACCGAGAAGTTGAACACATACAGGGTAAGTTAAAGACAGACGACAGTCGGTCTAGTTGGGAGACACGACTAAAGCATCGACTACATAACTCGGCTATTTTAAGAAATTATCGCCTGTGGGGGAAAGATAATTTCTGTACAGTGACATGTTTTAATGTGTATTTTGATCCATGTCGTTGACAGTTATGATGGAGTTGACGGTTATCAAGAATTCGTTTTGATGTTTGTGACCACCATATCAATGAAATACATGCATGTGAATGTACAATGGCAGGGCGTCGTCTTAGTTTTTTCTTTTATTTATTATTATTTGAAATAATAAGCGTCGTCGTAGCCTCATCAGTACTGATTTTATACCACCGGTTCGACTTCTAAAACTACGTATCAGTAAACCATTTCTATTAAACAAAATAGTATATCCATCGATACTGTAATCCTTATCCATACTAGTAAATGAAAGGGTGCATAACATTGGCACCGGTTTGAAAATCACAAGTGTTGTATCTGATCACGTTGTTGAATTCCATAACAGGAGATAGTTTCTGTCTCTCTCTGATGAGGACTTTTTCTAGAATGAGTCTATTCATAAACGAGTGGACTCAACGGCATCAGCCAACGCGATCCATTCTCTTTATATTATTATTGATCAAACCCTTTATGATATATATAATATTTCTATAGGTTGAGAGCAAGCAGCTTCAAGGTTTATGTAGGAAACATGGTGCTACAGAAAATGAAATTAGCGCTTGTGGCCCTGGAGGTAAGTTTTTCACAATTACTGGCAGTATTCATACACATACAAACATAGGTTATATTTTACTGCATCATAACATACTAACAATATTGATCAAGATTTAGTAGTATATAAATCATAAACGATCGATATACTGTAAGTTATTCATCCGTTACAATCTTAAAACAACGAGTTTTATTGAAGGGTTGTAAAGAGGTTGTCTAAACTCTTTATGTGTGTCGGAGACACTGATAGCATCAATATCCAACATTCCAATTTTCAGTCATACTTCTGCGGAGAATCTACTAAAACAGCGTTTTATGATATATCTGTCGCAAATGTCCTTGGATTCTCAGATAGCTTTTGCGATAGTAAAGTTATTTACGGCAACATTTCTACCAGAACCAAAGACATCTGACGCAAAATTTGAATGGTGCAAAACGAAGTCATAAATGTGAAGACATGACATGTGAATAAACTATGAGATATTAAATAACTATTGTCATTTCAGGTCGACGACGAAGAAGTAGCGTCATGCCAGCCCTAGATACACTAGCCTCAATAGCCTTGGTAGGAGCAATAGGAAACCATCCAAGTTTAACTCTTAGTGATTCGTCAGATGAGGATGACGAACCTCTGAAGTACGATCTATCCAGAGAAGTTTCACTAGATCCTTCAATAGCTTCATTTGCTACTATAAATAGTATCGACAGCTCTCCCAGAAAACTGTCAGCTGTAGACAGCAATGGGCTTGATAATCCCATCTTTGTGGACGACGAGAAGTTGAGGAGGATGCAGGCCACAAGAACACAGTCGCTGCCTTCTGTTTATCTCACACCGGTAGGTAATCATTCCTTCTGTAGTTGCTCACAGACATTGATAAAATACTTCAAAATCTAGCCAAGAGGCTTAATGCTCAAAAGTCTTTGAACTTCGGCTTATAAAACTCAATGAGATACAAAAGGGGAATTCGTCGCCTCCAATTATCGCTTAAGGAATCCACAATAAGAATTAATATTGTATTTTTCAGGAGTTGACGCGACTCTGATGAAAACGGAGTGAGACAAGGTGGCGTTATTTGTCCTTAATTTATTATGATTAGTATCAATGAATTTACTAATCGAGAAGAAACCAATTTTACGCTGTGATTTTACTACATTTTGCTCATTATTTTATCGTTTACCTGATGGTGCTCTGACTGAATGGTTTTGGAGACGTTTTTCATCATTTCTGCCAATTCGAGATCACTTTAATGTCTTCCAAAATACTTTTGAATGAAGAATTTGGAAAGCATGTGAAGTATGGAAAGCGACAAAGCATGGTTGAGAATTGGGAGATTATATTTTTGAGGAACCATATCGGGAAAGTATATTTGAAATGCCGATGGTCATTGAAATGGGTGGAAAGGTGTTTTCTTTTGTTGATCCAATACCACTATGTTTGATTTTGTGCATTTTCACATATTACCAGATTTCAGTGTTTGTGATTGATTATGGATTTGGGTATTCGAGATGGGTCGTGATTGAAGGATATTCGGATTGAAATGAAATGAAATGAATGGAGTTTTACGTCCTTCTTTTCTCGGATTGAAACACACGCTCATGTTAATATCTTGGATAAAGCAGATTTTGGATTAACATTTGTTTAAATGTATCTGAAAGCGGTGGTGGTTGTAACGCGATTTCATCCGAAGTGAAGTCATAAAAAAGACGACGGACGAAGTATAATTAGATGGAACAGCAAGTACATGGGGCGCACGCATTTTTATATGATTTTATTTTAAAAAAAGGGCAACATGATAAATTATTTTCTCAAATTTACACTAGCATGATCCTTCTAATAGGATTTGAATATTTGGGATATTTTATTTTCTCAAATTGAAATTTAAAGATAGGTTTCCGAGTGTACAGCTTGTATTTTCATAGATTCACAAATATGTAGGCCTATGCCAGTACAGATGAGCGCTCACACCGTCTTTAACGAATTTGTAGCCGTGGGTGCCTTTTCATCATTTCAAGGTTAACGAAGTAGTTTCGTTTCTTTTCCATTAATTGTATAAAATAAAATTAATTATATTTTTAAACAATCAGGGATATATTAATCTACGATTTTTGTAAATATTTATCATGTATTTTGTATAAAGTACTTTGACAGAATATTAACAGAAAACAAAACAAACATGTCGGTCTTCTGTAATTCCACTATTGCTTATTGTATATTGTGTGGCATTTTGACCTGGGTAGATTTTTTTTTTCTATTTTCTCCTGACAAACTTAATGTTATGTATTTTGCTTATTATTTTGTATTTTGTAATTTTGTATTCAAAATCGTTTAAGATCTTACGATTTTGAAAGGAGATTTACAATAATTCCAGAGCTGTACACTGTTCACAGCATATTTATTACTTCCGCAAAAAAGGCATCGTCATAACAATAGACTCATTTTGACACCTAACATTGTCATAAGTTAGCATTTGAACGGTTATATCTCATATTGGCACACTATTTTCTCATATTGGCACACTATTTTCTCATATTGGCACACTATTTTCGCATATTGGCACACTATTTCCTCATATTTGCACACTATTTCTTCATATTGGTACACTATTTCCTCATATTGGTACACTATTTCCTCATATTGGCACACTATTTTCTCATATTGGCACACTATTGTCAGCAAACGTTCGGCATCTGGATAACTATTGCTATATTATGGCACCTCGAATTGTGGTTGTTCGGTACTTTGATGACTAACGTGAGATATTGCCAGCCATTTGAAAATATTTGAATGAACCCAGTCTGGGATTACAATTAAACCAAACTTTCGTTCACTTTTTTTATTAGCTTTTATTTTTTTATTTAGCCACTTCGTGTAGGGTCTAAAGACTGGCCACTTGAACATTCATTTTGATGATACCGCCAGCCAGAAAGACTTATTGTTAACAGACTTTCTGTCGACGACTCTGATTGGCTGTATTCGCTAACTAGAAATCCTATCAAACCACTGCATTTACAAAGTGTCGTTATGTAAGAATAGTGGTATCGTCAAGGTATGAGACGAACTTCGTAATAGCTTGACATTGTGAAGACTGATTACCCATTATTTAAATTGAATCTTTGAATAGTTGCCACGACAACGACAATTTATTTTGCCATGAAATATAACTTACACCATTGTATTTACGTCATAAAGTTAGTAAGAAGGGCAATATGAACTACAATGCAGATTATACTATGAAAACATCTATGTAAATATATATTTGTCTGTATAGATATTGTAAATAAAAATTAGAAATTCATTTAAATCTATTTTCAAGTTTTTTATATTTTATAACAACTATTGAGAATGTAACATCTGTGTGAAATGGTTGGGCTGTTTTCAATCTATTTTAATCTATTCGCATGAATAACATGTAGTATATCGCCACACAAGATATTTATAGATTCTGTTAAAAAGAAAATAGTCAGGCTAATAAAGATGGGAAGAGCTATCCAGTGTAAAATGATGGAAATGTTGCCATGTCCACGTCATTTGCATCTCAATTGTTGTCGATTTCCCCTGACGGTGATTCTGTAATATGTACAGCCAGTAGAACACCCCCAGTGAGGATATATTTCCTTGCCAGTCCCTATTACCTGCATCACTAACTGCAGTATCTCAACGCTTTCCGGGATCGAAACCTGGCTATGTATTTTGAAAACAATCTTAACGCTACGATATCCCAGAAACAATGTTAGAAGTTAAGACCCTAGGACAGTCCTAGGACCCCCCCCCCCCCCCCCTCCCTCCTTCAATACTTCATACAGCGAGTTAAAGCTGAAGGTCCAGGGTACAATCCCGACATGGGTGGAGATGTACTTTCTGATTTATCAACTCGGTATACCCCCTGTCAGTGATGCTGGTCGGAGCGGCTGACATGGAAAAAGTTGTTCGGATAGGACAATAAACCAAGGCCAAGTGTTTTACACTGTGTGAAATCGAAAAAGAATAGGCTAATGAAGCTCTACTGACAAAATCTCCCTCATTGCACATTGCATAACGTTGTCAGTCTTCTTTTCCCATTTAGATGCAGAAACGTATGACGTAAAACATTAATTTCAATTTAATCTAGTCAACAGAATGTCGCCGAAAGTAAAACAGGATATTGTTCATTAAAAAGACTCATATAATCGTCCATATAAACCAATACAATCAACCGATATTCATACAACTAGATTACCGACGCAATATGATGGTCAATGCTTATTTGATGTTGATGGTGGTCTTGCTGTGGGCTGGAACATTACCTGTGGCCAGTCTTGAAAATCAAGATCAGATGCGAAGAATGTTTTGGGGAAAATCTGGTAAGTCGAGGGTTGATTTATTCTCTATTATCAAACTGCTAAACCACAACGAAGACGTAATATTGCAGAGTGAATGCTCGCTACAACATGAATGTTTAAAATTTGTCGACCAAAAACTCTATTTTTAAAGACATGGCAAGTTAAAATATCCATTATCTTCTGGAACAACTGATAAGAGAACAGTAGATACCAGCGTAAAAATTTTCCTCAGGTAGGTTAACTATCAACCGTTCTTCCATTCTGGTTTACTGTTTTTGGTGAGCATTCAGAATTTTTAAGGGGGGAGGGGGCAATTCATTTTCCCATTTCCCGGTAGCTGCAGGCCTACCACACCTGGTCAAACGAAGCCAATCGTATTCTAACTTGTATCTGCTTTCCGTAACTTGTATTAATAATTTCTCACTGTTCACTGTACCTCGTCTATGTACAACTTCACCAAGGAAGGATCTTGACCCGGGTACTTAATAAACACTTTATACTACAGTTTTAAAGGTATACTACCTCTTAGAATAGACATAAAATTTAAAGTCTCAAACTTAGTCAATAAGTTTATATATTCATCAGTTGGACTTATCAGGTGCCATGATTAAAGAATAGAAACTCTATATAATTATATATAATAACTACATGATTATTGAATAATGCTTCAAAGTGTGTTTCAAACTTACTTATTTTAATGAATAATTACTTAGTTTAATGAATTATTACTTAGTTTAATAAATCATTACTTAGTTTAATGAATTATCACTTAGTTTAATGAATTATTACTTAGTTTAATGAATTATTACTTAGTTTAATAAATTATTACTTAGTTTAATGAATTATTACTTAGTTTAATAAATTATTACTTAGTTTAATGAATTATTACTTAGTTTAATGAATTATTACTTAGTTTAATGAAATATTAAGAGGAATTATATCTAAAAGCTACTGATATATTATTTGTAGTGTGTAATAGGTATATACTACCTGTGAACGCTGTGTGGATACAGAGAGCTAGATGTGAGGACAATAAACAGTTTCAATGTCCAACAGGCTTTAAATCCCAGGTTCAGACAACGTGTAGAAACGGATTATGGCATTTGGAACCAACTTGTCAAGGTAAAATATATAACTTATAGACTGTAATTAGAGTTTTGAATCGTCCAACTCAGAGAAGACTTACAGGTGAATACGACTTTGCAGAATTGCACCGAAATTTCTCTATTGGCTTCAGGTACGACTTGATTGCACGATCTTCATCTGATTTTAACTTCAGTTGGCAGAGATAATAAATAAACAAAACAAATGAAGTTAATTACTTCCTCAGTCGACGTTAATAAAGAATACAAACATTGCTTTACCATATAATTATACAAAAACAGTCCAATTAAAATTAAACTTTCGATTTATTTTTTCTACTACACTCCAGTTAAGGTCTAATTACTCCCTTCTTGTTTCTTACTATGAATAATCTTTGCCCTGACCCTTGACCTCTGCCTTAACCAATCGAATTACACTGAGCTAATTTAAAACAACCTTCAACAACGTTAGCCACAGTGGCACAGTTTAGTTTCAATGACTTGATAACCTAGTCTAATATTTCTTGGAATTCAACTTTTGTTCGAGTCACGTGATCCCAGCGCTTGAGAAGGAAGACATTTGATTGGCTGGTGGTGTTATCAAACAGATAAATGTAATATAGAGGGGCAGTTAGACGCTAACTGGAGTGGCTACATAAAATTAAAGGCTAACAAAAACTGTACGAAAGTTTGGGATTAGACTAAGGAAAAACAAAAATATTTATTTTTGAGCACATGCATGATTTTTGATTTTATTCTATTGATTCGAACTAATATTATATTATACTTATATTGTAAGGCATGGGCAGAAATTACTGTTTTCGTGAAGCTAAACGAAGTATTGTCTTATTCTGGTGTTTCAGATTGTTACAAGTATACCAAGGACAGGTTTGCGGCTGTCGATATCTTGAACGGATTCTTAAATAAAACTCAGGCAGAATGTGATGATTTATGTTCTGGAAATGGCCAATGTAGTTCTTTTGTTGTAAACTTTGCCAAGGACTGCCTTCTGTTTTCACCCCCGATCTTCTTTGCGTCCTACAACACCACTTTGGCCCAGTGTGTAGATGAATGTTCCAAGCTGGACGACTGTTTGTCGTTTAGTCACGTTGGTGGAAGTGGACGATGTTTTATTTTTAATGCTACTATAAGTATAGTAAACAACACTGCACCAATCAGAAGTTTTTCTGGTGATACCCTAGTAGAAAAAATCTGTCCAACTATTCTTTAAAAGTTATCCTCGATATTTGTTATATTTATTTATTCCTATTAAAAATTATGTATTTTTGTGTATTTGAGTCAAAGCCTTAAAAGAGATCGTTATTAGGTTTTCTAAATTTTTTATGGGTATCTGGGACACTGATAGCATATAGTGATAAAGCATATTTTGCGATTAGTGACGTCATCTAAGAATTAGTTTAAGAGGAATTGCAGGAACCACAGACGTCTGGTTGAAAATTGGAATTGTACAAATTGACGCTATCATTGTCCCAGATAACATAACATATTTTGAAAATCTCTTTACAATCTCTTTAAGACATTGAATATCGTATGGGATGAATGTTAATGTAAATTAAACGATAATGAATGAGGGAAATCGATAGTAAATCGTGTTTCTCGGTATTTTGAATAGAACTTTATCATAATGTTATTATACTAGACAATAGGCCTACCTCACTTAAAAGGATGGCGATTTCTCCATGTTTTATGTGTATCGGGGCCTCTCATAGAATTGATTTCCACCATTCCTATTTTCAATCAGACATCTGTGGTTTCTATCCATTAAAACTAAGTGTTTGATGACGTCAAACGAGGAGTGTCTTGTCAATATTACAAAATAATACTATTCGGGCCTCCGATACTCATAAAGAATGTAGAAACCTCTTTACAATCCCTTTAATTTCTGCCGTTGTATTTTGTGAGGGCTATTTGTCGCTCCGTTGCTTAATCTTAGATTTACCAGCTGGTGTAATTAAAGGAACACTACGTCCTAAAATGAAAATAAAATTAAAAAATTTAAACTTGGCCAAGAAGAGCATTTATTCATCAGTAGATATACCTGGTGTCATAAATAACATAACAGGATACTTATATAATCCAATAAATCAAAAAAACTTAGTAATTATCCATAAATATGCAATTAACTATTGATCAAGCGTTTTTCAATAATTACTTAGTTTTATGACTTTTCCAGATTTTACAGGGATTCTGTTGTAACTTTATGACACCAGGTAAGTTCACTGATGAATATATACTCATATTGACCATTTCGAGAAATTAAATTTAATGTTCATTCTTAGGCGTAATATCAATTTAAAAACAGCTTCGTACCGCATTTCCGAATAGTAATACGATTTATGGTTCGCATGCAATTAAATTGCAAGGCACAAAAGGATTAACTCTAAAAACAAACCACATTTATTCCTAATATTTGCTTGAAAACTCTCTCTAAATTGCCTTTATTAGGTCACAATGCTGGTTTCTATGACAAACTCTTTTCCGAGACGTTTTTCTATTCAAGGGAAATAACTTTATTTTAATACAGACCAATGTAATTTAAAGATTTATAAATACATCGGTTGCTGTTGAGGACATCGTAATAAAGATTACTAACCATTGAGTACATAGTAAGGCTGGGGTTATTTACCACGTTGTACATTGGAGTCAACAGCAGAAAAACATCACGGCTTAAAATTTGCAGACTTTCTGTCGATGGCAAGTCGGTCGGTGACGTGTAATCCAGTGCATTTACAAACTCTTATAAAAACACTGGCCTAGGGACTACATTAGAATACATCAATTTGATACGAAAGAAAGAGCCTAATGTTGTCAAGGTATATAACCTAGTAGTAGCTTGACATTGTGAAGATGACATTCAGAACAACCCCAACCAAATTTCAACTATAATCTCTATATACGGTCTCCTTTATTATATTATCATCATACTAAATTACTTAGCTTAATGCTTCGCAAAAAGTTTCGATTTTTTCCTTTTAATGGAAGAAGAATCAATGATGTAAACTTATTAATGCTGCATGAAAGTTATTTATAATCGCGTTGCTAAAATATTTAAAATACATTTTTCGTTTTTTTCAAGTCCTCTTTTGTCTCATACTTCTTATCCATTTTGTTTGATAATTTGCAGTATTTTTTTTTTAATTTTTAATGTTTAAATTGATTAATTATTACTTTCATTGTTAAAGTTTTATATTCTCTATAAGCGGATTACATTAATTTTAGTCTCAAGATTCTAAAAATTTTTCAATAATAAGTAATATAAACAAACCGGCAAACAAATTAACAAATAAATCCTAAATCGTAATTGTAATACGGTCTGCTTTTTTTCGTAAGGTACATTATCTTTAGAGAATATGAAAAAGTGGTTGCTTAGCCAAATATTTGAGGATGCCCGAATTTCTAACCCCCCGCCACTGTGCCTAGCATGTTATGCCCACTTTCCTGATAAAGTTTCAATATATCAAAGGCGGTCGCCAATCTGTGTCAAATCGTACCAAAAACTAATTTGTACAAGATATTGTTGATTTCATTAAACATGTATAATTTCATTAAATTTGGATATAAACTGTCACCAAATTTTTATGCATTTTGGCTAAGTCAAGAGCAATAACTCCATTCCATTCATTGGAAAATCTTCAAATTCAGACTTGACCAGGATGTCATTGTAATAGATGATCACACCAGATTTCATTTAAATCGGATGAAAACTGAAGTCTCTATACAGTGTTCACAAACAAATTTTGAATTGTTTTTTCCTTAGAAAAGGCCAATAACTCAAAAACAGTTCATCAAAAAATCTTCAAATTCTGACTTCACAACAAAAAAATTCATTAAAATCAGATAAAAACTGTAGCCTCTATTGTGTATCAAATATCAAGCCAAAGACCAATACTACTTTAAAATTGTGCATTTTGTCCCTTTAAATATTACAGCGATTTTGATGGATGTTAGCTGATAACTGTTACGATGTGGGCGTGGCTTATTATGTAAATATCGGAACTTAATAGTTGGAAAATATAATAGAACTATTAGTTGGAAAATATAAATTTTAAACTCGGCAATCAATATAGAAAGGACCAGATTAAAGTCTCTCGGAATATCGCTAAACAAAGCATTCTGAATTCATATCAGTCAGAATTAATAGTCACTCAACACAGTCAGGCACTAGAAGAAAATGTTTCGTCTGAGAATTTTCTTTCTAACCTGTTTGGTCCTAGTTTTGGTTGGTGCTAATGATACATTTGCCAACTTCCGAGTTGCCAAAATTATAACCGATACATGTGACTTTTCTACTAAATTGAAGACAATGACTGTTAGTTTCCTAAAATGTGCTTTTAGGTGTGGAAGATTCATGGAATGTAGAAGATTTCTGTACTACAAAACAACCATGAAGTGCAGGTTATTTTTGGATGGGAACAATTGTTTGGTAAAAGGTGATTCGTCTGGATATCGATGTTTTATAAAGGTACAATTTACTGTCAAACTTTTATTAAAGGGACAGGTGTGCCATTATGGGGGTTGATTTGAGTCTTGAATATATGTAAATAGTCTTCAGAAGGATAACCGGAGGGAGCCGCGATTGCTCAGTGAGTTAGACGCTTGCTCGCTAAGGTCCAGGGTTCAATCCTGGCATAGGTTGAGATAATACCTTCAGATTTTTTAACCCGGTTTCTCCCTGTCAGTGATGCAGGTAAGAGGGGCTGACATGGAAAAAACGTTTAGTCGGTGTGCTACAGGCTGTGCACGTTAAAGATCCCTCGACAGTTGGAAATCGCAGGCTAATACCGCTGTCCTGGCAAAATTTTTCTCATTGCACCCTGCATGGCGTTACCGTCTTCATTAGCCCACATGGAAATGTACGCAAATCATATAATTCCAGTAAAAATATCTCTATCTATTTCTATATGTCTTTTCTATATATGTCAGTGTCACCAAAAAAGACGACTCGTCTGTTTAACTTTCAAACGCGAATAATTATGGACATATATGGATTTGAAGACTCAAGTTTCGAGAGTGACCTGTGAACACTATAACTGATGACAAATTACCGCATGATTAGTCAAATAATGGCACATCTGTCCCTTTAAGCAAGAGTTCGGGGGAATGTTTTAAACTCATCGCTCATTAAGGTTGTGTAGTGAAGGACCAGGATGTAAGGTGATATCATAATGATAACCTGGTAGTCATCTTCACAATATCAATCTATTATTTACGTCCAATACCTTGACTGCCACCAGTGGCGGAACCAGGTTTACATCCGAGGGGGGTAGAGGAGGGGCGAAATATCTGAGATTGCCCGAATTTCTAACCTAGTTATGAGATTTTTGCCCGAAAAACTTTCGGAGCTGCGAGGGGGAGGGGGGGAGGAGGTGCCCCTCTGTCCCCCATTAGGTTCCGCCACTGACTGGCACTGTTTTGTAACACGGAAGTGTGTAAATACAGCGATTTGGAAGTATCGTACGTTAGCTAATACAACCAATCAGAGTCCTCGCTGTCATACAATCGAATCGAATCGCTGCATTCTGTGACGAACTTCATATTATAGCTTGACATTCTTAAGAATCTCGATACTAAATATAATCCGATATTCTCCCTTTACTGTTTCAGTCTTTTGGGTGTGTAGCTGACAATTGCACGTGCCCTTGGGGTTACTATGGTGATAAATGTACACAAATAGCTACAGGTAAAGATTCCTTGAATATTATTGAGGTGCCAATAACCAGGCCCATAGCTACAGGGAGGCGAGGTCGGGAGTGGGGGAGGCAATGTTCCCCCAAAGTGAGTCAGTCTGTCCATCGGGAGGCTGGCGCCAAGGTAAACGATGAAATATGACGTTCTTTATGAGCCTGAGAGTCAATACAGCTAGACGAAACGTGATGATGTTTAAACTGTCATTTTAAAATAGATTTGAATAAAGGGACAGATGTGCAATCTTTTTATTAACAATCTTACCTTAGTCTCAGAAACGGTAATTTGTTTTAGCTAATCAGTAATAGTGTTCACAGCTCACCGTGGAAATTTGAGCCAGAATTATCAGCGTTTGAATGTTAAATATATAAATATATTCAAGACTGAAATCAACCAACATCCCCCGCCCACCCATCTGTCCCTTCCCTGCTGTGGGTTCTATTTCTGTGTCATTATTAATCTACTAAAATTGTTTTTCAGATTGTCGGGATTATAAAGAGAAAGGATATACAAGGTTGAGAAGAGTTTTAACAACAATTCATCCCGTTAATTCAACCAGACCGTTTGAAGTTTCTTGTTACCTGAATTTAGTGGGGAGTATGGTCATATTTGAACGAGATAGTAGTTGTTCCATGCAAAACTTTAACCGCAGTTTACACGATTATGAGATTGGATTCGGAAATGTTCCGTGGAATGGATGGCTTGGATTTGATAAGATATTCCAAACGTCCAAACCAACAATGGCTTTACACGTAATTCTGAAATATGCTTCAGGTTTATCTTGTGAAGTTAAGTACAGATATTTTTCTATCGGTAATAAATCAAGCCAGTACACGTTTCATGCTGACAGAATTCAAACTAACACTATCGACTTCTGTGGCGATTCTATCATGGGTGGTAATGGTACGCTAGAATTAACCGGTCGTCCTTTTTCAACGTTTGACAGTGATTTGACGGGAGTTAATTGTCCCGCGATTCTAGGCGGAGGATGGTGGTTCGCTAATAGTAGCAATTGCTCTGATAGTTTTGTAACGGGGAGCGAAATGAAGGATAATTTCTGGCGAAATTTGTTACAAGATCAATATATCTCTAAGGTGGTATTTAAAATCTCTTATTATTGATTCAATAGATAGTTTACTCATCAAACACGTGCTGGTATAATATTACCAATTTTCATCTAAATCTGTCAAGAATTGGACTTTCCAGAGTGATAACAGGATAAAACCTGAACGCGTTTGTACGAACAAGGGCAATAACTTATACTAATTATTTTTCGATTTTTCTGATTTTAAATAGGATTCATCCTTGGGTGGTTACTAACACTCATACCAAGTTTCATCAAAATCCGCCAAGAATTGCGCCTTCTAAAGTGTTAACGAGCGTTTCAAGAACAAAGGCATAAACTCATACTAAATATTTTTCGGGTTCATCCTTGGGTAATTACGAAATCAGTCAATAATTGTGCCTTCCAGCAATTGTGGACGGAGGGACGGACATTGGTGACGGCAATATACGCCCCCCATTCCACGTGGGAGTATAAAAACGGTATGAAATAATCAGTAGGTATGAGGAGATGAGAGTTGATACTGGGCCGACACTCTGAAGCACTTAACAGTTAGGAAACATGGTGACCTTATTTACTTTCCGTTTTCATATCGTCACGATATGAGTCGTTTGATACAAAGAGTATTTGTAAGCAATTCCAATTTTCAGTCAGATGTCTGTGATTCCTGCAATTCCATAAAAAAGAAGTGTTTGATGATGTCACTAATCGCAAAGGAATTAAGAGCATTTTGCTATTAGCGACGTCATCAAACATTTAATGGGATTCCAGGAACCACAGACATCTGCTTGAAAATTGGAATGGTGCAAATTGATGCTATCAGTGTCACCGATACACATAGAAAGTTTAGAAAAATTCTGTACAATCCCTTAAAATGTTTAATGTATGTTTGGTTAACAGATAGTCACAATAAAGCTTTAAGACAAACTTATTTTATAGAACTCCATATCAGCCAAAATTCAAAATATTTCAAAATAAAGATTCAAATTCTACTCTGGCGTCAATCTTCCTACGTGAATATTACATTAGCGATCTACAACATATTCAGATTCAGAAGGGGTATTCCACTGTTTTGTACAAAAAGTTTTCATGATCAAAAACGTCGTAAATTTTACCTGAAATGGCTCGATATTATTAGTTAAAACCTTCAGAATAGGCGTTTATTTTACTCAAATCCGTATACTTAGTTTTCTAACAGCTTCCAATGTATAACGAACTTAAAAACCTTACGTAATGTTTTAAAATATTTTTGGCGTTTAAAATTAAACGGCTTTTTTTTTTCAATAAATCTTTCAGATCCGTTAAAGGGCACATTTCTCTAGATTTTGGTGTATAGTTTTTACAAATAAGAGCAAAAAAAAAAGCGAAATATCTCTTTCAGCTTTACGGAAACTGTCGAGGATTGACGAATTTTCACAACGGTATGATCTTTCTGAAAAAACAAATATTTAAATGACCAAATCCCTTTCAGTATCAGAATTGTCATTTATTGTATCTTCAGATATATACAGTGGAGTCGCGTTAATCCGGTTGCCGCTTTTTACTGGGTACGAAATATTTACTATGTACATTTACCCGTTAATCCGGTATCCGGTTCCACACGGGAACCAATTATCAAATTTATATTTTAGTTAGTAGTCACCATCCAGTCGCTTGGTCACTGTGAGTAATACGTAAATAAAACAACTCATTGCCTGTAATTTTATTATTATACATTATAAAACTTACTTAAATTACAATATTCAAATATTATGCAAATTGTTCACAACCCCAGCTTTTACTCCACACTAATAATATACTCTTTATTGTACATGGGTTAGAATTAGGTTCATTAAACCAAAGTGACATGGTTCTGTTTAACATGCAGTCCATGGGGACAATAATAATAGAGATAGATGTCATATCACCCCCTTCAGTTACAGCTAGTGTTCCAGGTAAAATACCAATGGCAGGAAATATGGAATTCATAATGATAATATATTCAGAAACCCTGTAGTTGATGTTGGTGTCAGAATACATAAAGCTTCAATAGGAAAGCAGGCTGAAATAGGTCAGTTATCTGAAGATCGCATGATGTGAAACTCAGAGTAACAGCAGTTTCAGGTTCTATTTTAATATTTCTAGACATTCTATAAATAGGATAACCTGGAAGAGATCCTGTCCATGTATTATGATAGCACTTGTATGACTTGTGCTGGGTTTCACTCATCGTTGTTTAAAACATGTCACTTTATCAAAAAATAGATTGGACCAGGCTTCCCTTTCTCCAAATATCTTCTTGAAGAGTAGACCACGTGTTCATATCAAATACAGTTAGAAAAGAGTTGATTGGCTGGTTTGAAATTCAAGAATTCATGAAAATATATATATTACCTCAGTACCTGCTATAGAGAAACACGGTAGAAAAAAGAGATATGGAAGGCTTCACTCTTCACCCTGTATATTTGAAATCTTATAATATATAATATAGTGATAACTATTGTATATTTCACTGGTGTATATCAGTCTTGAAACCACAGAGTGATCTCAGGTGTTCCAGAATAGTAAACATATAGCTCTGTATTTCACTAGCACTGTTTCATATATAGTATACAATCTAGTTTATGATCATTTCAACTGCAACATTTTGATTTCTGTTTATTTTTAGCTTCATATAAATCAGTATTTTCTTTCTGTATACCTGAAATTAGTCATTATATATTTTCAAAACTTTTATCAATATCAAGCTATTACAAACTTCATCTTATACCTTGACTGCAATAGCAACTATTTTTGTATCATGGAATGCAGTGATTTGATTGGATTGTACCTCAGAGAATACAGCCATTCAGAGCTCTCAACAGACAGACTTTAAACATTATGTGTTTATATGCTATGTGTTTACATTCTGTCTGTCAAGGCCTCTGATTGGCAATTGTCAAAATATATATTTTTTACCTTTCATCAATTTGAAATGCACAGGACTTGAGCATTAATTGCCCTTTTCTATAATTAATTTGATGTATAACAATGTATTAGACAATTAGTTTAATAATGAATATATTATACCTCAGGAAGGAAATCTGTTATTTTAACAGAGAATTTGATTGAATGGAAATTAATTGACCCAGATCAGAAGATGCATAATAACATTGACAGATCATGGATGACAAGTGGACTCACCCTGTAGAAGAAACATCCTGATAATGTACATTTATTAACATGACTAGTGGTGAATTCTATAACATACTTACTGATTAAATTACTACCAATCTGTTTAGAAGAAACTGTTTTTGTTGACTCGAGTTCATTTAGTAATAAAGAATCGTATGTTAAACACACGGCTCGGAAGAAAAATTCTCGTACATTTAAACCTGAAATATCATAGCTTTTTACATTATTTTTAAGTTTTATTGGTTTATCAGATAACACAAGGATTCTGTTGTATATTTATTACACCAGGTAAGTTTACTGATGAACAAACACTCTTGTTAGTTGAGTTTTTGAAAATTCAAATTGTATGACCATTCTAAGATTTTTAAAGAACAGGTTGTTTTCTTTGATTAAAGTTAGCTAAATGTTAGCTCTACCAGTTGATATATACTTATATACTACCTATACCACTTATTAAACTCGAAAAATAACATCTAGTTTGTCTACAATAATATATATATATATATGACAACATGATAACAGTCAACTGTTTCTTTCCTAGAAGATCTTAAAGTCTATATAATATCCTGAGGTGAAGAATGAAGATCTGTACACTAAGATAAAGTGTTCAAATATAATGGTAAGATGTTCTTGGTGTGCCTTATACATAATTGTGTTCTATATTTACAATCACACAGAAATCTAGCATCTAACTTTTAATACCTACCATTTTTAGCAGATACAGCCCAGAATTCAGCACCTAGTTTATTGGCTTTTTCTACAGCTCTACTTTCTATATCTTCATACGCTGCCTCTGACTATAACATAATAAAATAAACACATTTTTTGATATTTTTTGTCTCAATTGTAATCTAACAAGTTTTCTTCCACAGTTGCATTAGTTTCAACCAATCAAATCATGTCATGTTAGACCAATTTCTTGCCTGAAAAATTGTGAGAGGCGGCCATATTGCTCTACTTTGTGTTTCGCAATCACACAATTAACAAGTGGTTGCCTAGCAAGATACGCCAACTTTTCTCATACATGTTCAGTATATCAAGGACAGTCACCTATCTGTGTCAAATCGTACAAAAATCTAATTCGTGCAAGATATTGTTTATTTAAACGAACACACATTATTAAGTAAAAATCTAAAATAAACTGTCACCTCTATCGCCAACAAATTTTGATGCATTTTACTAACTCAAGGGCAATAACTCAAATTCTGTTGATCGAAAATCGTCAAATTCAATCTTGACTAAGATCTCATCATTAGAAATGATCACACCAAATTTCATTCAAATCAGATAAAAACTGCTGTCTCTTTTGTGTTCACAAGCCAATTGTGGACAGACGGACCGGCGGGCTGTCAGGGGCAACGACAATATACGACCACGATAATGTGGGTGTATAAAAATTGTAAGCAAGAAACAGATTCTATCTATATCTGTTCATCATCACATTAATTATGATAGTCATTTGAAGAAGTAAGGATAAAACTGAACCAAATATTATATTACATTATATTCCTGATATTGATATAGATAGCCAACTAAATGTTTAGTCTCTGTGTATAATACACACCCTCAGTTTGGTAAGTCCTTTTTACGGTAAAACAACTGTGCATTATACACACTAATATACAGTATATCCCTCTAGAAATAATAGTTTTATTTACCAATAAATCTCGTTTATTTCCCACTAAAAATTTGACAGGATCATTGGCATTTTCTGAAGCATCTACCATCCATTTCTCTACATTATTTAAACTTTCTTCATCGGACAGGTCAAACGCTACTATTACTACTATAAATAGACATATTGAAATTCAATCATTATAACGTTTTAAAGAGGCATTCCAATTTTTAACAATTAGTACTCTCTGTTTTTAATCAACCCTTTTAAAAATCAAATTCAGTTTGATCACCAAGATACCTAAATATAAATAGCATACTTTAGAAATATTCTGAGGTATAATTAATGATGTTTTTGATAATAATAATTTTGTACGAAAGAGCAGAATGTCCCTTTATGTAATAAATCTGGAATTTAGCAGTGCTCCCTATTATTTTTCAAAAAACCCAAGATATCATAACAGTTGTCCAAATAAGCCTCAATTTTATTACATTTTATCAACCATGGAATACGCTGAACAACATAAAAATATAAAGTTTTAACTGTGTATACTGTCTGAGAGGAATTCTGAGCTTACAAACTCTCATCAAAGAGTGTAGAGAGGATACTCTGTGCATACATAATATAGTATTTAACTTAAGAACGATAAGCAGATACTGTTATATGAACCTGTGTTATGAACCCAAGAACATTACTGTTGTGTGATAGTTTAATATTAAGCTTACCATTAGCACCTCTATAGTATGAAGCTGCTATACATTTAAACCTCTCTTGTCCGGCTGTGTCCCATCTAATAAAGAAAATAAAATATCTAACAGGGGCTTTAAAAATTTCCCAGTCTTAAATTGTAGAAAAAGATGAAAACTTTGCTGACCAGTAGTATGTAAGGGTACTAGAACATTAGCAGCAATAGTTATAAATCTACAGGCTGTTTACACCGAGACTGGGTACAAAAGGGACGAGATATGCTTGTGAATTTCGGCTGAACTATTTTCATCTCGCAGCTAGCAGTTGTCCACAGTTCCATTAGCTTGGTGGTCAAGCAACGGGAAGGACATCCTCCATAGCGGTTGATTAATTTTAGGTCATCTTGCTCTGCTTATATATGAACTCCTGACCAGCAATGCTCCATTCGGCTCCTTCTCTGTGCCGCCTGTAGCATAAATGAACCCTAATAGAGTCACATAATAAAATCAACTTAAACACTATCTATATTTGACCCTGGTGCTTTAAATTTCCTGGCAGAAAGACAATGTATTACAAATACCAGAATATAAATTTTTTTCCTTTATTCTCATAAAAGCAATTGATTCATGCTACATACTATGTCTTAGAGCTGGACTGTTTCTTTCATTTGCTGAAATATATATTGAAGGCCAAGAAATTAGTTTGCCAATACTGAGCTAATAACCTGATATTGGTCTCAATAACTGAATATAATATAGAATGATCTAACTGTAATACTTACATTTGTAAAGTAAAGTTTGTAGATAAAATACTGAATTTTTCTACTTCAAAATCTACACCTATAGTAGCTTTATAATCTCTATCGAATAAATCATGACAGAATCTACAATATAGAAAATATCGTGGGTGACCGCTTGAATCCTTGTATATGCCATATTTGGTCATTTTGACTTTTTGGTACAGTTCGAAAGCTTTTAAAAGCGCAGATCTTGTGATCAAACTTTGTATTCTTAGCTTGATTGTACATAACTCAAAAAAGCACCAATTAAATAACACTTATATAAACAGTCAGATTTAAAACCTCGTAAAATATATTATTATACAAGGTTCAATGTTCCTTTTCTGTGGATGAAAATGAAAAACCTCGTGTACTGTATTATTATACGAGTTTTTGGTTCAATAAGCCGGAGATCTCAAATTGTTATACGAGATTTATATTTTCAAAGAATGAAAACCATGTATAGCGATAAAAAAATAATAAATAGGATTTTAACAAATTACGCGTACAAATAGTTTTTTGCGTTTTTCTGGAAAAGTAATTTCGTGTCATATATCGTTATACGAGGTTTCAAGCGGTCACCCACGATATATCACCTGTTTCAGTGAAACACGGTACAATGTAGTAGTTTTGTATATGTTGAAGGGATGATGGGATTGAGTGTATTTAGGTAGGTATGAAGAGACCTGTAGGTGTGAAAACAGAAAGTAAAACTTACCTGTTAACAAAACATGTTTTACCAACAGAAACATCTCCAACTATTACTGCTTTAGAAATCTTTAAACTGAAAATGAAATATGTTAATAAAATATCAATTATTTTATAACTTACAATAATGAATAACTTAGAAAATAAGTTTGGCTATAAACACTGTATGTGACCCCGCACATCAAACCAGGTATTAAGTAGCATTTGGTGTATGTAGAGCTATTAGTATATTTGGATTCCTGGCATCATCAGCTACATTTTGATACCAATTCCATCTCAATAGCTTTCTCCATTCAGATGATATAGTCAATTTAATATCCAGATTTGAGTCCCTTTTAATTCTTCACTGCCAGCTTATTACTGGGCAGTGCAACTTAATACCTGATACAATGTGCAGGGTCACATATTCTTCTCTCTTACATATAAAAAATGATCTGAAATTGATTTCTATGGAATTTTCCTTAACAAAAATAACACAAAAAATGAATAAATTCTTACCCCACTGTCCCTGTTCTATTTTCTGATGAAGCTGCTTTAACTTTCGGATGAAAATTCATCTTTTGATACGGAGTTGCGTCAGCATGGTAAGCCTGAAATAAAAATGTGACAACTCCTAAAAGTGTCTATCTTAATTCTTAAATTATCATTATAAATCTTATTGCATATAATTAAGAGTTTTAACCAATCATAAATGTCCATGTATATACAGTCTGGATAAATAAAAAAAGACTTTTTCACCTTTTTTGATCGGTCACTCATTGGAATTCTGTTGGTAATTCTCTTCTAATTTAGCTAATCATGAATAAATTAATGACATGTGAGACAAACTGGTATTTAACCAAGTCATTAGAACACCTCTACTTTCTATTTATATCACTTTTATAAATGAAAATAAAGAAACCGTTCTGAGATATCTTCTGAGCTCCTTCCTTACCTGTTGAAATTTGGAGACAATTCTGTCTTTAGCCACATTATTGGATAATACTGTTCTTCCTGAAGACATAGCATAGGATTTGTTGAGAATTTAACGAGTTTATAACCAGGCCTTTAACGTATTCTGGTGGAACTAGAAGTATACTTCTCCAATCCAATAAAGCTACACTCTGAGTTCACTACTTTCTGAAATGAAATTTGGCCATAATTTTTATATGAAGTGAAACATCAACAACAAAATACTACTGAGAGTCTTAGGACTCTTATAAGTCAGAAGTAGGGACTATGGATTTCAGCATTGGAATACATCAATTTGGTAAGAAATTAAGCTACCTACTTCTGGAGAGATTTACAAGATAAACAAATAAATCAAACATGCAAAGGAATTGTTTCAGGGTGTTAATGAAAGGGGATCTAATCTACCATGGACAAGAACATTACTCATATATTTATTCCTTTTGTAAGCAGTCACCAAACATTTAGTATAGATGTTTTGAGAATTTGTCCTGAAGTTATTTATAAAAGTTTTTGACAATCACATAGGCATTTTTAGTTCACATTCATTTTCTGGGAAGTGTGTCTATTTTAAATGTAAATTACATGAACCTTATATTTCTATGGACCTGAAGACATTCTAAGACAAATGCCCCAGTGAAATACCATAAAATAGAAAAATTTATTTGGATTATATTTATGAAATGAGAAAAAGATCAATGTTGTCAGACAGTAAAATGTTATTATTACATCAACAAAAAGGGGCACCTGTTAGCAAAACAATAGACAGGCCAAATAACAAATAAAACTCCAGTCTAAACCAGTCATCGACTCCGGTACGACTCCAATTAATCCAGACAGAATGATTTGTTAAAAAAAGCATGAAATATAGGTGGAGTTCTTTAAAATTGACACTTGTCAGCTTAATCAAAGTAACTTCGGTAATTTACTTACGATTTACATTGGTAAAGTTAGATTTCGGGTATTTTCACTGCATAAAAGAGAGAAATCGTTGAAATACTTGTTAAAAACTTTTAATGTTTTGATAAATGTCAAGGAATTCCAAACGGAACCGGAAATACGGGATTTCCCCAAAATCATGCGCACTGCATAAAAACTCTAGTTACGGCTTAGTCTCTGACAGCCAGACATCTGTCTTTCACCGCAGACTGGTCGATAGAGGCCAAATTTCTGTTACATGGCATTTTCATGTCACTGGCCAAAGACAACCCTGAACAAAAATATGATCTAATCTAATGCATTTTCTTGACCTTATGATTAATATTTTTTTTTTCTATATAATATATAATATGATGTATTTTCTGTATTAGGTAACGGACAATGGTCCATCAAGTCATTTTTTATCGTATTTACAATCGTACCTCAAGTACTCTTGAATAATTAAAATTAGATGAGAATTTTGTTATTATTTTTAATGAGACCCTAATGGAGACAGACAAAAATATAATAACAATGAAACCAAATTCTAATCTAATTTGAATTAGATTAAGTCTACTTGAAAGCCAGAGTAATCAGAGTTTAAAAAGTAGTTTTAAATAGATTTTATTTTTCAACCAGAATCAGGTATCTGTGAGGTCTGCAATCCCCATAGTTTCGGCTACTATTTTTTGAATGAATTCAAAATTGTGTAGGGTCCCTAAGCCCCCTGGGTCCTAGGAGATTGTGTGGATGTGCCACTGTCTGTTTTGGTGGGTCCACAATCACCTTCAGTTCAAACAAATAAACTAATGACAATACACTAAGAGAATGGTTTAAACAATATTTTATTCATTTTTTCAAGGTATATAAGCTTTATAGAAAATAATATTTTGGAAACAAACCGAGCCTTCTGTTTTGTCTTTTTTATGAAAATGCTTTCGAGGGATCTTATAACGCTTGCAGCCTGTACCACATGACAAATTATTCAGATTTGCCTCTACTTTGTATCCACCCTTCTTGTACTTCACTCCAGGCAAAATGAAGAATGACAATATTTCCTGGTGTTAGTTTCCACTACAGAATACTCAAGATCAATTATTAATTAAATTTCATTTTTCAACCGGAATCAGGTACCTGTGAGGAAACCCATTGGTCTGCAATCCCCATAGTTAAGAAAACTATATTTTTCGAACGAAATTGTGTAGGGTCCCTAAGCCCCCTAGGTCCACTATAGAATACTCAAGATCAATATGTAGACAATTATTGTTCTGATGTAGTTAATATAACAATAAGATCTAAAAAGCCACACTCCCTCTATGTTCATTTAGCAATGTAAGATAAGATAAGCTTACGAAATAAATCTAAACAATCAAAAAGTTTGTGGAAATCCTGAAGCCACGTATAAAGTTGGTCTGATTCTTATGAAAATGGCACGGAATGTCTTCATTCTCACATTAATTAAAAGTGGTCTGAGTTGTATGATTTTTTTCTGAGTTGTCTTTTTAAATTAGTCTTGATTCAAAATTGTGACATAATCAAAATGTCTTAACAATAATAATGGAGACATTGGACGTGAAACTAACCAAACTGTTCAAAAAATTCATGCTGAAAATAATTATTATTGTTATTGAATTAAGAACTTGGTTAGCTTTCCCTGAGCTTATTTGTGTGAATGTCAAGGAAGACCTAACGGAACCGGAAAATTACAGAACATGCGCACTGAGTAAAAACTCCGTGGACCGGAAGATGTGAACCCTTAATCTTCCTTTATCGTCAACATGCCTCCAAAGAAGAAGCCAGCAGCGAGTATGTCTAAAAAATTACAAATAAATCCATGTTCCCTCTTTCTTAAAACTTTATCTTAGTGGGAGATAGAATTAGATACCTCCTTTCTCTGAAATGAAACCGCAATCGCCTCCACGACCCGCAAATGAATGGCAAAATCGCTACATATCGCAATGTCCGTCAGCATGCTTCTCTATGCTTGTTGAACTTTTAACAAATTTTCATTGAGGCCTAAAACAAGTATAAGCCACTTATTAATTGATGTAACCTACTCGAAGATTTGCCATTAATTACTTGGCATCTTCAGATGTGGTCAGTCCTGTTCAGGGTGAACGTGGGTTATTTTTTAAAGGCAAAATATTTGGAAGGGAAGTGGAAGTGTGTTTGTTTTTTTTCTAATGTGGACTAGATCTAGATCATTTAATCTTTTATCTCTTATATTGATTTCTAAAAGTGCAGGCTATTGCCACTCTCCTGGCGATATTCCCTTGATTGCACAGTGTTCAGTCTGAATGTGGATTATTTGTCATCAGCCCCAACACAAACAGGTTGGGCCGGTCTATGGCAACCCAAGTATTTTAGAACTTAAATCAGAAAACAGGAAATACCAAAAAATAATTCCGACTGAATGTTACAAAACATTCCTTCAGTACCAAATTGTCAACCTGTGGAATTCCCTGCAAAACTTTGTTATAAATTCAGAAACACTTAACCAGGTCAAATCCAACATCAACAAAGCTTGGAAAGAAGAAGAAATTAAATCTACACCTAGCACCATGTTTTAAACTTTGATAACCGGCAATCAGTTACCTTTTCATGCGCATCCTATAAACCAAATAAAATCAGTACCAAGGATGTCTCAGAAATAATCTCACGTAAAATCTGTAGACTAAAGGTATAAGATGCAATAGTAAAATCTAAAACTCATTCATATACTCTTATATTTGACAGGTGCCCCAAAGGCAGAGGAGCCTAAAAAGGAGAAGAAACCTGCAGATAAGAAGCCAGCTGATAAAAAGCCAGCTGAAAAGAAAAAACCTGCAGAAAAGAAGCCAGTCAAGAAGCCTAAAGATGCCAACTTGAAGCCTGTCAAAACAAAATCTGGAAAACCATTAAATGCCAGACAGAAGGCTCTGAATGCTAAAAAGGCTGCTCTTAAAGGTGTTCACAACAAGAGAATCCGAAAAGTTCGAACAACTCCCTCGTTCAAGAGACCTAAAACCATGAAATTACCAAGAGCACCGAAATACGTCAGAAGTTTAACAACTAAGAGAGGGTAAGTATTGGGTCACAAAAATTCTGAATGGTGTATGTGTTTCGATACATAGTATTCTATATATCTTAGTGCTGTAATCTAACCTTACCACTTCTATGTCTTCTACAGGTTTACGTCCAATAATATCTTATATATATATGATGTGATGTGTATAATATATAGTGATGTATGCTAGCTTACCTGAAGGTCCAGGGTTCAAGATAAGACCTTTGGATTTTTCAACACAGTTCCCAATTTCCCTCTGTCAGTGATGCAGATAAGAGAGAGACTGTCATGGAAAAAGTGTTCTGTTTGTTTATGACAATAAACCGAGGCCCTGTGAGCTACAGGTTGTGCATGTTAAAGATCCGTCTACATATGTAAATTGAAAAAGATTACACTGTTCTGGCAAAATTTCCCTCTTTGTACCCTGCATGGCGTTACCTGTCTTCATTAGACCACATGGTGCAGAAATGTAGGGCTTAAAACTCAATTTCATTTCTCATATGACTTGTTTTCTATTTCAGCCTAGACAAATATAAGATAGTAAAATATCCTTTGACAACTGAAACAGCCATGAAGAAGATAGAAGATAACAATACACTGGTATTTATTGTTGATCGACGAGCCAATAAATATACTATTAGTAACGCTGTTAAAGCTCTCTATTCTATTGAAGTAGCGAAAATTAACACCTTAATCAGGTAGGCAGATTATGATAATTTGAATTCTCCTGAAAATAAAATAAGAAATAGTAGTTTTCCATTGATTGGCATCATAACGCTTTCTACTTCTCTTTAAAGGGAAAGATGGGGGTTGATTTTAGTCTTGAATATATGTAAATAGTCTTCAGAAGTACTAGAAATGTACATTTGATCCTGTAACCACATTATACATGGTAGTGTCACAAGAAAAAGATGAGTCTCGATTTAACTTTCAATCTCAGATAATTTTGGACACATGGATTTGAGGCTCAAATTTCGACAGAGCCGTGAACACTATTACTGATTGGCTTAGCTAAAAAATTCCTGTTTCTGAGACTAAAGTTACAATTGGTCAAAAAATGACTCATCTGTCCTTTTAGCTACTCTTTTGAAGTTGATATTTCAAATGATACTAAAATAAGTGGCAGAATTCATGTTTTAAAACATTCTAGTGGGACAGTACAGTAATAGTTTCTATCTCATACACTTATATTCACTGACCAATGTTTTTAACTTGTAGACCTGATGGTGAGAAGAAAGCTTACGTCCGACTTCCTTCAGATTATGATGGTCTGGAGATTGCCAGTAAGGTAAGACCTGATTATATATTTTATATTTCTTAGGGATAAAATTATAGATTGTGGTACGTTCTTTCACAGAATTCAATATAAATAATGAATATACATAGTAAAGTAACTCTGATCATTGCAAAGCACTGGTGCTGAAATGTCCATGGCTACATTTAACCCTTCAACTTCATTCTGTAGAATGCTTTTAGCCATCTCAGCGAAAAACTGAAAATTGTCCATGGAAGACACGTACAGATAGCAGATCAGTCCACATTTTATATTTTTCTCCCATAACGAGGCAAAACTAGAACCTGTTTAATTCATACAACACGTAAAAATTTTATCAATTTCATTGGACAAATTATTTATAGTAGCCAATCAATGTTATAGGATTTTGTACTTTTAACCCTTACTGTATTATGTTGAAACAAACCAGTGATTTTTTTATTTTGTCTTCTGGCTTTTGTTTGCTGAATAGTTATGTCCCTTTACCCAGAAAATTCAATGGGCAAATGTCTACTTTGTTTTTATTTTTAATTACTAGAAATAAAAAGTCTCCATGAGCAAGGATTTTTTTTAAACGCTGGGTTGTGAAGAGAACCAAGATATTAAATTTGTCCGGCCTAATATTGTATCAATAGAATTTTACTTCAAGTTTATTTTTTTTATCTTTCAGATTGGAATCATCTAAATTACTGGTTGTACAATAAAAAAAATAAAAGTGAAAAATTCAAATATTGTTTTATTATTTTTCTATAGTACATGTATAACCTCACAAATCCTTTGAATTTAGCCAGTGACCAACAGCCCAATAGTGGATCAGATGATCTGTACATAAAACTCAGTGCTCCTTGCAGCCCCCCTCTCCAAAATTACAAAAGAATGCAAAAAGTAGTGTTCTGTACTATGTTCAGTATTGGATTATCAATACAGTAGAAGCGAATCATTCGTGTCCGTAACTCGTGTATTCATTTCTTCTATTTTGTACTGTATTGGTAATCTCTCACCGGTTACGTGTATTCGCTGCCTTAGACCCATTTTTGCAAAAGCAGGTTACTTCCCTTTAGTCAGAAGTGTATGATTACAAAGACCAAGTTGGACCCATCAAAAACTAAAGAAGTTTCCGCGTGTGCTTACCAGTCTTGCAGATCAGAAGGGCTGGCACGGAAAACTTGTCCAGTTTGTTTGGGTAATGAACCTATCCCCATGGTTATTGGCTTTGCATGTTGACGCTAGTTATATAGACTTGATCAATCGCTACTCTAATCGGTACATTCCGTCTATCTGGTTGGTATCAGCTATCTGTAATCAAACGAAACTACGTATGGTTTTTACACACACACGCACGTTCACAATTAATTCACGTAATTAATAATGTTATTTCCATTAAGAATCACACGTAGTTTCATATGATCTGTAATGAGAAAGGGCTAAACAGCCAAAAGAGTCTAATCATTCGATCGCTTGGGCAGAGGGCATAGCCGTCCCCCCTCGCAGCCCCGAAAGCAAGTTTTTCGGGCAAAAATCTCATAACTAGGTTAGAAATTTTAATCTCAGATATTTCGCTTCCACAGAACTGTCACATTTTGAATCACAACCTTTACAGTTGTCTCTCCATCCGGCCAGTTTGCCCCCTAATTGTATCCCAATTGTGGAGGGTCGCCACTAGTTGCAGTTAGGACTGTTTCTTCCTTGAACTTTTTTTATTGAGAAAATGCTAATCAAACAGATTGTCATAGTTTATTTTACATATACAAAAAATAAATATTCATTGGTCGTTCGTAATATTTACAGATAAATTAATTATGCTTATCGCGCGAGAAATATCTCTCATCGTTTTAAAATGGCATTGTAAAGTATATATACATAATTTATACCATTGTTACACTGATTCCATTTCATTTCTTCAAACATCTTATCTGGAATAACAAAAAAAAATAGCTTGGGATTACTTTATGTCCCCACAATACGGCGCTTTTATCCCGTAAGATGAGAAGACTAGTCAAGTCTGCGGCGTGGATGAGTTATTAGAAGTAGTTCATTGCTATAATACAGCCACAATGCTAAACCCAGCAACTTCAAAGAGAAGTTCGCCCCCGAACACCACCCCCCCCCCCCCCCTCCCCTTCGAACCATAATGTCTGAAAACGGGCTTGTATTTTACAAGAATAAAAGCTTATATTCACAAAGATCCTATCTACCAGCTAGTTCTTTGCCAAGCCTCTTTATCCCTACGCACACACGGCTGTAATAGTATAGGGAAAGCTGACTTATTCAGTATACATTTACATCTGGGTCGACCATCAGTTTATTCATATATTCACGCATTTTCGTTTGTTTGACCTACCTGAGGTCGGCTGTAGTCTGAAGGGTTATTTCTGAATTATCTTCCGACGCTGTACTGAAATTAGAATCTATTGAATCAAGCGACATAGAACTTCCGGATCCGGTTTTTCTTAAGCTTGATCTTGAACCGTGCTCCTTTTCTCCGACATTAGCGCCACCGTACAGTTCCTCCATTTCTCTGGGCGAGCACCGAGGCGTTGGTTGAGGAACAACATTATCAAATCGAACAAAGTCCATGCACCAGATATCGTTCCTTTCATCGTACTCCTCCATACGGGCAAACCTGTGACCCCAAAGTATCTCCTTGGCGCTGTATGACGTTCTAGCTTGACAGAGTTCACCAGTCGATTCTATGGTTCCCTCCAAGATGTAGATGATCTCGAATTTGTCCAAACAGAGTTCTTCCGGTTTGATATCCCATAATGGACTGTTTGCATCAATATCGTGTCGGACGACCACTGGATACATCAGGTAAAGCGTGTCGTCCATACCATTAGCGTTTAAATCCAGTTTGTGCTGATACAGCGGGTATATTTGACGCTCTTGCGACACGTGTTTCTTTACTAGCATAGCTTGAACCTTGGTCTGGATCAAATGAGTTCTACGCAGATCCCCAATCCTGACTTGCAAGCTGACCATGCCGTCTTCCTTAGCGATGCAAGCACTTCTGGAAAATACCAAAGTATGGCGACGGTGCTTTGGTCTTGCAAATTTGACGAACATGAACCCAAGGATGATCGTTTCTACAATAAAGCCTAGAGTCATTTGTAAATAAACTAACGGAATCGTAACTGGACACGTGGGTTGTGGGTACAGAGTTCCGTATCCGACTGTAGATTGCGTTTCAATAGAAAACAGGAAACAGTCCCAGAACGAGGTAACCTTCTCAATGCAGGGAACCCAGTTGGTGTTGCCGATATTGTGAAAATCGCCATGGATGTAGCAGACGAACCAATACACAAATCCAAAAACGATATAGGACGTGAAGAATCCACCGAACAGAGTCAAAGTTACCCACCGCCATTGCATGTCCAATAAAGTTACGTAAAAGTCTTTCAGAAATCTCATTTTTCTGTTGGGGATTCCACGATAAGCTATATTGCTTTGTCCCTCCTTTCTGATTAAATTTCGTCTCGGTTTTAATTTTCGACCCCATTTTGTTTTCTTTCCTTCGTCTTGTTTGACTTTCAGCTTGGAAAACTTGTAGCCTTCCCATCTAGGATCATCGTTGTAAATGTCCAGTTTTAGGTCACTCGACGCCATCTTAAACAGTCGGAATTATTTTTTTGAAAATTTCACAAAAATAGCATACCACTTTCACTGATCCCTTCAAAATCGTACAACTTCTTTTTCACTTGAAAAAATGAAAACGCAAATCAAGTCCACAATTTGAAAATTTACTGAGGCCTTCTTGTCTTTGAGAGCTCAAGCCCAGCACTTCCTGTGACGTATGGTTTGACCGTACTTCCGGTGTGTTATCGTCTGGTTCTCCAGTTGCTCCTCTGATGGAAATTTCTCAAATGAATGAACTTGTTGGTTGTGTATGGTTGGTAGATGTAAAGAGTTGTCCTTTTAACACGTGTTTTCTATCCCGGATCAGGTACGGTGTGAAAGTGGGTTGGACTTGTATTCAAGATAGCAATAGATCCAAAACATCAACTTATACTTCGTGTCACAGTTGACAAGACTTTGATTGACAGGTTTGTTGGTAATGAAGGTTTATGATACGAAGTGACAAATAAGACACTTTTTTTACTGATAGTTGATCGATAGGGTACCTGTCATAATTTTATGTTTTAACGATACCGATCGCCTCGAGGTTTTTATCATCTCGTCTATTATTCTTCCGACTGTTTTCTAAAGAATATTACTCCATGTTATAAGCCTATTGTTTAAGATAATTATAAAGGATATTATCGAACTATGATTATATCTGATTGATCAGTTGATAATGATGATTGATTATCGATTTGATATCTTTTTGTGAATTTTGCCGTTTCTTATAAACAACGAAATTTGTGTTTAGATGAATAAAAATGCAAGAATTCAAGGCTGAAATAAACAGTTTTTATATACATTGTACACAAACAACAAATTCAAAACTGAATTAGGATATAGTCATCTTTGCCTTAGATTTTTTTTTTTGGTTAAGCTCTGAATTATCATAAACATTAATTCATTTTGAGTCTAAAGGTAACAAATTATTTATTTGCTAAAATGTTGAAAATGTATTTCAATCTACAAAGAAAACAAGAAGACATAGCACAACATACCACAAACACTTCTTAATAAAATATTGTTAACTTTCATTTTTTTTCTAACTTTTTAAAATGTTTCGGGAAAACTGATAGCATCGAATCCAATCTACGATCAACTGTATACAGGACCGTACTTTGCGGCATTGTCGCCCCGAAAAAAATAAATTATAACTGTAATGTTTATTGCAAAGAAAAAAAATTGATTGTCCCCTTGAAAATATTCTGAAAACTGACCAATTCCACTACTTCAACTAAACACCATA